GAGAGAGGGAGAGAGGAGACGGAGCGAGAGAGAAGACAAATATGAAAAATTTAGAAAGAGAGAAACATCGTCGGCGAACAGATTGTCTACGCTCTTAGTGGCTCCGCCTTTATTTAAATATTTTGTTCGGCGCTCGCCAATGAACGCGGCTGCTGATATTTTTGCTGCCGCACTCAGGCAGTCGAAATGTGATTTATAAATAATTAAACTGGGGCTCATATACACAGCGACAGCTGCTCGTCTAGCTAAACTAATTTATGCAAATTTTCAGCCAGTCAAAATTAATAATCAAATTTAGTTTCATGCGCCGCCAACTGGCAATAGTTGCTGCTTTTAGTGTTGCTGCTGTCGGTGAGTCCCACAGCGACACTTAATTGAGGATACTTGTTATTGTGTGCTATTGTAAGCACATTATTGTGTACATAGTTCAAATAGTTTTGGTGTTATTTGAATTAATTGTCATTGACACAGGGCACTCGGAATCGCCTTGACTACGTGACGTATACGCAACAATTCAATTAAGTTGCGGTCAATAACAATAATGTTAAATTGTATTTACTATTTTCAAATATGCAAATGCTCATACGCTCCATTTGGTCTTTTGACTAGCAATTATTAGTGGGAAAATAATAATTTCACTTTGTTGCAATTTATGGTATTTCAATGAGTATTAGCATAAAGGGAATATCAAATTGATACAAGATTTCATGGCATTGTTTTGTGGTCGACTCTTAATTTGTTTAGAAATAGTGGCTGCTGCTTGTTAAAAATGCATAACGTAGTTAATAATTTGCATTTAATTTAATGTTCATTACCCTAATTGCTTTTACCAATTAGCCGAAGGAATTTAATGCAATTGCACTTAATTAATGCATATTTCAGCCGAAAAGGCAATGCGTACAATATGAAATTCTTCTTAATAGACTGCCAAAGCTTAAAAAGACAAATTCCAAATGAATTCCAATTTATTCCACTTTGGTTTGCTTGTACAAATTTAACGAAAATAACATTTCTTATTATTTTTGTTATTTCGGACATTTTATTTCGGACGAATTCCATTTAAATTCAGTGTAGAAGTGAAATGTGGAACAATTCAGGTAAATGTCTGAAATATTACGCATACGCAGCATTGTCTCAATATACACCAATATCACACATACGCAGCGAGGTCTCAATGCAGACAGTAAATCAAAGAATAACTGAGTTAACTTTATTCCCCTCATATTGTACACTCGCATATTTAAAAACAAATTCAGAGCAACACATCAGCTGGTCAATTTTATGACATAAGCAAATAGTGTGTGTGTATAATTAATTTAAATACAGTTTATAACAATGATAACAACAAAGGCAACAAACGTACAGTCTGTTGTCCAGGTCACATATATCTACGATGTCCTCGAATGATGAATTGCCATTTGATTTGTTTGTGCTGCTTGTGGCAGCAATTTAATTTAATTATCGTATTTGCCACTTGGCCAAATGCCAGCCATAAGCCGAGTCAGCCTTCCCATTGGTTAAATACACACGCAGGCAGCCTGCGTGTGTGTGTGTATGACTGTGTTTGTATGTTTGTGAGGTCAAAATGCAGATGCAGTCGCATCACTGCAGCAGTCCTGGCCACCTGGCCACCTGCCTGGCAATTACGCTGGATTATGAACGGCGGCAAACATTTAAAATGAAATGTCCAATGCAAATTGTCAGGAGAGCAGCGTTTGGCCCTAAATCAGGCACTAAATCCTATTTTCGTTTCCGCTTCTCTGCCTCTCCGCTCGACTGGCTCCTCTGACGCTAATATGCAAATGCAATTTGCCGCGTTTGGCGCGTGATGTACGCTGGGTAATCGTAACACAATTACAATGTTGTCAGTGTGCCGATGTATGTATATAGCATATATATGCCCGTGAGTGTGTGTGTGCATGTGCAGGTATGCGTGTGTATTGGCAACTGTGCCATGATGCGTCGCTTCAGTGCAGCAATAAGGGGCTAGGCTAAGGGTAGTTGGGACGGACAGCCGCATGCACGCGTAATTAATTGATTTTTATCTGGCTTGAGGCTATTTTACAGTTTGTTGATGACAGACGATGCAGACACGTGGGCGCAGCACTCTGCCCAGGACTCTGTGCGTTACAACTCTGTTCGTTTCAGACCCACCTTTGCCCATACTCATGCGTATAATCAGTTTTGCGGCTCTTACCGTCTAGGTGTGTGTGTTTGCGTCTATGCGGAGTTTATTTAAAGAGATTTTTATGACTGCCGCCACTTTGTTTTGGACTCTTGAAGCTTTTTTTCTGTTTGTGAAATTTATTGCATGGCCGTTGCTCTTTTTTGCTATTCATTGTCAGCGCCTGTTTATTTTTGGGCAGTTCGCTCGTTTAATGAGGCGTATGCGTAATGTTACAATGTTGCGAAGTATACTCTGTGTTATTTCTGGCAAAAATCAAATTACTTGCGCCCAAGCTATGCATTCATTTATATACCTATGGTTATGGTTATATCTATATATGTATATGGCATGTCTAGACTTTGCAAGATTTGCGAGTGAAATTAAACGAAGTTTTGACAACTCAACAGAAATAAAAGCTACGTAAAGTTTCTAAAGTGGTGGTGGTAATTGGAGAATAGGACAAAATATTTTCGAGTGACTAAAAGTTTTGACGAAGAAAGGAGCCTATATGAGATAGAACCTTTTTAAAACAAGGAAGAATATTGCAGTCAGGCGTTAGGGACTTCATTTATGGTCCAAAAACAATTGAATCTTTCTTGAAAAAGGAGTCAGGTAGGAGAGTATGTAGTAACTAATCTGCCAAATTTTGCAGCAAAAACCTGGAAAATGTAGCTTTTAAAGTTGCCTACACCAGTTTTTATTCCAAATGTCAAAACTTTTATAGAAATATATACTATATAGAGTATATTGTATATTTATATATACTATACAGATTATATTGTATTACCTCCCCTTTTCACTTAATGAATGAGCATAAGAATGTATATATATATATATATATATAGAGCTTAGATTACGACGGCATGGATTATGACGCCACAAATATATTCGCTTTAGCATATGTACCATATCAAATGTGAAATTCAACCGAAACTCCTTAGGACACTAAAAATTGTGAGGTAAATGTATGGAAATGTATAGTGGGCTGTTTCGTATTAGGTATCCTACTTTCTCTCATCCTCTACAGCGTTGTCTTAGGCATAAACTTAAGGTCCCCATGTGGATACAGAATGTGGCTGGCCGGAACAACAACCGTTGATGCAGTTAATTTGCAGATATTATTGCTGTGATTAACACATAGATGTTTATGTGGACAGTAATGTTTTATATATAAACACACAGACAGACACAGACAAGCACTACTACGAAATCAGTGAGGTGCACTTAAGCATTGGTTTGCTGCTGGAAGGATATACAAATATACCAAAACCAGACACACACATTTATACACACACGTCAGGCAGCTGTACACGGCTTGGGTGATAAATGGCTGCCAAGCTTATAATATTAATAATACATATAAAGCACTTGAACATGTCGACATGCATAACATGTTGGCTCATACAGATAAGCGAGGACACACAAGCATGCGAACACTATACTACACTGCACTAGACTACACTAGACAGCAAGCACAACATAACAGAGCACAACAGATCATAGCTACGTAACAGATATGCACACTTAGAGAGAAACCCATGATTGGCATGCCGTGCGCTTAGTGTTTGTGTATAAACTTGTAATTAATTGACTTGATGGAAAATGTAATTTAATTAAGCAGACATTTCAATGCGGTTGCCATTGACTACGACTACGGCAACGGCTACGGCAACGGCAACGACTACGGCGAGGAGCTGTTCAGGCTTGCAGTTCCTTGAGCGGCTGCCATCTCATCTTGTTTGTTGTTGCCATAGCTATTGTTGTTACTTTGATTACCAAGTTCTTTGCACACTATCGCTCTTTAAGAGCCAATTAGTCTTATGGCATTTGAGTGCACATGGCGTATGCCTAATCCGAGCTATTAATGCAATTTAAAGTTAGCTTTAACCCACACAATTTGTGTCTAAGGCTAGTCATAGTCAACTCTGAGATAAATTTGACCAGCTGTGCATCAGCCTTGTGGCACAGGATAAAGAGCTTTCAGGTCAAGTCTAGCATTAAAATATATGAAAATAAATACATATATATGCATATATACTTATATACTATATGAGCCAACTCTGCTGGCAGCAGTCTCGGCCATTTTCAGACTTAATTTATTATAATTAATTTCTAATTCAATAAATCTTCATTTTCACTATGTTGGCTATATATAAGCATATCTTTCCCTATTCAAAACTCAAATGTTGCCTACCATTTCCGGCCATGCCTCTCGCTTGTGGCAACTGGCAGCCAGTGCAACATAATTTGACATTATAAATCCACTTATATTTACTCAGGCATTAAATAAAATCACACCTTGGCTGCAATATTATTTCATTTAAATCAAATTTAAATACGTTTTGAAGCGAATACAATTGCCCCGTGGGTCTCGTGTGCCTAACAAATTATTGTATACTGATATTGTTTTATATAATTCATAATTCATTATTACTAATTTGAATTACAATTAATTGCTTTGCTAGTTGCTAGTTGTTATTTTGTGAAGACTATAAATTTCTTATTTACTTAAATGTAAATGGCATTTAGTTGCTTTTTTGGGAAATTGGCTTAATCAATTATTTGAGGTGTCAAAGCTTTTCCACAAATTTGTTTTCACATTTGTTAATATTAAATTTCATATATTTGCTGTTGAAAAGCAAATCAGACATGTTTGTTGTCATAATTAAATGGTTATAACAATATTTTGGTTGGATGTGGATTATGGGCTTTCATGAACTTAATTGAATTAAAAGTGCGTTAAATATGCTATTAATTAAATATGCGCATATTTTTTGTGCGACCTCATTTTAAATGCTGGCTAATTGAATTGATAAATATTTGAAGTATTTACCTGCGTTTCAGTGACATTCAGCAGCTTGGCCATTTCGGTGCGTTCGCTGGAGCTGAGATATTTCTTGATTTCGAACTGTTTCTCCAGCTCAAAGATCTGGCGGCCCGTAAAGGTGGTTCGTGCCTTCTTCTTGCGGCGCGCATCCGTTGAGCCCGAGTCGGAGTCATCCTCGGTGGTCTCCAGGTTGCTGTTGTTGCTCTGCGGCGGGGCGGCGTGTGTTGCGCTGCTGGGCGAACTATTATTGGCCAGCAGCTTATCCCGCATTAAGCTGTCGCTGCTGCCTGTGGGACTAACGGCCAGCGGCAGATCGACCGTTAGCTTCTTCTTCTTTGCTGCCGGCTTGCCCGAGTGCTCTGCGGATGAGGTGTGCGATAGAGAAACCATTAGCCATTGTCTTTTCATGCCTGTGTATGTGTTTTTACTAAGCTAACTAATTGCGACACTCAGTTATTTAACCTGATTTCAGCTCGTTGTGATGTTATTTTTTCGTTTGCTTTTGCAATTAGCTTGTCAAATGCTATAAAAACTGACAAGCCAATCGGTCTGATTAACTGACTGCATTGTTGTCGGAGTTGCAGTCGAGTGCAGTTTTTGCTCTCTGTTGCATATGCAAAAGCTATGCGCTGCATGCCGAACTTGTTTCTTTTAATATGCTGTAAAATTAGTCGGAAGGGTATATGCAACCGGAAAATGAAGCATTTCACTCTCGCTTTTTTTGAACTTCAAGATCTATACTTTATTCTGTTCAAAAATGAAAATAATTCTTTATGCCTATGTTTAACATATCTTTTTTTTTTTAAATTAAGTCTCGAGTTCCCAGGTCAACCTACAGTTGAGTTCGATTTAATGTAACATTGCTACAATGTTGTTATTGCCTTCGGCTGTCAGACGTATTGAGTAAGAGAGAGAGTGAGTGGGGTAGGGAAAAAAACAACATACAAGTGTTAACAACGCCATGTGTTTCAGGTATACCTATTGGTTGACTGGGGCCAAAACGTGTCTGGCATGAGTCTGGCAGTTGTCGCCAATTGCCAATGCATAATTGAAATCTAATGACAGTTAAATGCGAACGTTCGTCGTAGAAGTCGTGGTTGTCGCTGCAATTGCTAATACGCCGCGTGGGCCGCACGGCCTCATATGGCGTAGCGCATATGCATGACACTGTGATTAATTAGGCGACCGACTGACAGCCGCCGTTCTTGTCGCCTCCGGCATTGGCAACAGTCCGAGCCACTTAATGCCAGCCACCCCTAGATATAGCGATACACGACAGTGCGCACAAAGGGCACCCCAGTGGCATGAAATCAATAAAACTAAGCGGCAAAAACAAAAAGCAAGAGCAAAACCCTAAAGCAATAGAAGCATAGCACACAAATGTTTGATTAGATGTTGTTTCTTGTTGATGTTTTGTTTTCTCTCGTTTTGTTTTTGTTCGCCAATTGGCAATTGCCATGTCGTTCCATTAGGCCCGGTCAGCGACAACATTTTAATGGCAGCTCCCTCGCCAGCTCACCGGCTGGCCATTTATGGTGCTTGCAAACAAGTAATTAAGCGAAAATTAACAGACGACAGTTGCAAATCACAAAATGCGAGACTCGCCCGAGCGTCGCTTGGCATTCATTCGTTCGAACTGCGAATATCAGCGATAAATGCTATAAGCAATTGTTGTTGCGCTTTTGTTGTTTCTTATTTGTTATTTGTTGTGTTATTCGATATTTGTATGTGTAGTATTATTATATTTTTGCCCAGTCGAGTACGTGATTTTAATAACAATAAAAGTCGAACGCAGCATTGAGCAATTAACGGCAACAATACAACAAAACAACAGCCAACAATTTTCTGCTCAAGTTTGCCCATTTCAAACTGATTGTTATTGCTTATTATTGCCGTATGCCAATTGCTAATTGAATTTGCTGTTTTCATGCGCCTCTGCCCCCACAGCCACCCCCTCACCCACCCATTTGCTCTCCGTCTGAATTAAACAATTTTAATGCAGCGTAAATTTAGATTCACAACCGAATTACATTAGCAAAAACAATGTTCACATAATCATTCATTATATTCATGGTTTATTATTTCAGACAGAATTCCCTTTTTGGCCTATTTACAGCTAATAATGCTAATGTCAGTAAATCAATCAATTTATCCAGTCAACTGTTGCGCTTAAATTGAATATTAATTTTATGGATTTAACCGAAAAATATACTTTTATATTATTATTTGTATTATAAGTAACTAACGAAAAATATGATAAGTTAAGTCTTTCTATAAATGAATTTATATGTATGTAAATATTTTTTTTTTATTATATCATTAATGATTTTAATACATTTTTATATTATATTTTTTAAGTTACACTTTTAAAAATGTATTTTACTTTATAATTACTTTATTTTATTATTATTTTATTATTTATCGAATTTGTGAAAGTTTTTTAGAGAAATTATGTTTTTTGTTGGACTTATTTCTTTTTATTTATTTTTATTTATTTTTTATTTGCATTTTTTAATCTTTTTAACAATTTTTTGGAAATTAAGTGTAAATTTATTTTTATGTAACTATTGATTTATTTTGTTATTTTGATTATATAGTTCTTTGTCCTCATTTCTATTTAAGTTAAATTTTGTACTTATATTTATTATTTATTTTTAAATATTTTATTTTTGGCACTTTTTTAAGTTCAGTTGTTTTTTCTTTTACATATAATAGAATGTAAAATATAAACTTTAGAGAAAGTTAAAAAAAAAACAAAACAGATTTATCAACCGCACGGAACATTTGATTAAGCTTAAAAACATATTTCTTCCTTTATAATTACATTGAACAATTATTGATAAGAAATAATATAAAATTAGGAAGTGTTTCTAATTAATTTAAGCAATAATTTTTGGCAAAATTTGATTGGAAATCTTCAAGAATGCATTTTATGCTATATAAGAATCTATTAAAAACTAATTGAATTTTCGAGTCGAATGTTGATGACCCATTATCCGTTGCCAAAACGTAGGACCTTAATGCGAATGCTGGCAATTTGAGCCACGGTCGGGCTTCATTTAATATGGCATAACACGCATACGCCACGTTGCCCGCCGAACGCTTCGCTGAAGCGTGTTGAGAGCTTCGCGCTGCGCTCAATTGGCAGGCTCGTCAAGCGTTGCTGCATAAATTTGCTCGGCGCCAATATCAAGAACTAAAAATACAAAACTAAAATCACCGAATTCTGAATACTCTAAGCGACATCATATTACACGATAAATAGTTATATGCGAATTCATTACACAAATAAATTAATTAAATTTTTAATATAGAGTTATACGTTAGTCTAATTATTGGGATTCGCATTGTTCATAGTGAAAAAATTGTTGGTCTTGCTTACCCTTCTTAGCGCTGGTCTTTCCCAGCAGATGGTTTTGCCTGGCCGCCGGCATTGGTGACGTGGAGTTGCTGTCCCGCGACTTTTTGGCCACACACAGATTCAATGGCTGATCGAGCGCTGCTGCCGCAGTGACATTTGCTGCTGTTGCTGCTGCGGCTGCTGGCGCAGTTGCTGCTGTTGCTGCTATTGATGCTGTTGTTGTTGCTGTTGAGTTGACTGCACTATCCTCCTCACTGACATCGCTCATTGAGGCGCTGCGATGTGTGCGCTGTTCCTGTTCCTGGGGCTGCTGTGCATACTGCTGCTCAATATTACGCAGAATGCTCTTTGGTGAAGTGGCCGAACTGTTGGCGGTGACTGTAGAAACGGCGGCAGCAGCAGCAGCAGAAGCGGCCGCCACGGCGCCCTCGTATGCAATTTTATCGGCCATGGCCATGCCCAGTATGTCTGCGATTGAATGGGGCGTGGGTCTATTAGGCGGACGTGCATAGACATGAGCATGCCAGCTAGCTGTATGGTTCGGAGTGGATGTGGCTATGTTGGTGGGAAAGGGAGTTAAGGAGCGTCGCTGCTGGTGCTGCAGCTGTAGTTGCTGCGTTTGCTGTGGCTGTTGCTGCTGGGTAGCCGATTGACGACTAGAAGGTGCCTCCAGCTGCTTCTGTAGAAACGTCGTGGGTGAACTTCCAGCGGAGATGGGACTAGCACTACTGCTGCTGCCGCTGTTATTATCGCGCACTCGCAGCATATTAACCAGCTTCTCCTTGCTGCTGGGACTGACCATTGATGCCGCCGAGGGCGGTATTGTCAATGAGCTGCTGTAGACATACGAGTTGATGGCCATATTGTAAGCCGTGGCTGATTCTGATTGCAGCTGTTGCTGTAACTGTTGCTGCTGTTGATGCTGCTGATGCTGATGCTGATGCTGATGCTGCTGTTGCTGGTGTTGGTGTTGTTGCTGTTTGTCTTTGACTATGCCATAACCATGCGCCAAGGCGCCGCTGATCATTTCTGCTGCCACCAACGATTCGCGTTCAGTTTCGGGCATCATTTAGGGCGCAGCTAATTGGCTCTTAAGTGGGCGTGGTGGCTGGAATATATAGAAGGAAAATATGCGTGTTAAACGGGCAAACGAAATTAGCCAAACAGCTGTGCATTTGTTGTCAACTTGTTAATGGTTTTTGCCGCCGGCGCTAACCTTCAACTTTTTTGCCCCATAATCCAGAACCCACAAATGCAATAAAATACAGAACAGAATAGTCCACCATTTAGTGCCGCCTGTGCGGAATGTAGTCCAACTTATTTAGCCCGCAAAACGACCGCCCGCCCTCGCGCCCTCTATCCTCGACCCTCGACCCCGCCTCTGTCAGTATTTGTTTGTGTGTCTGTCCGCCTGGTCGTCCGTTTGCCATTTCCTGGCGCACTGCGTTGTGATTTGCATAACAAAATGCTGCGAGAGTCCCCAACTGTAAGCGTAGCCTGGTAAAGGATTTAAACAGTCAGGCAGGCAGGCAGGCAGGCAGCAGGCAGGCACATAAGTTCGGCAAGGCCAGCCAGGGGTTCCGCTTGGCACAGCCTTGCGAACACTTGTGTGTGACTGCTGCGAGTGTTGGCATGAATTTATGGTACAACATTTGAGTGTGACACAATTTAACTTAATTTAACGAACGGCAAAAGCCACGCACCGAAACGACAATAAAACGTACGAACCCAATTTCAAGTGCGGCAAAGGGTCTTAAATTTATTTTTAGAGTGTGGTATATATATATAAGCTACTAGTATTTATGTTCATAATAACAATTATATCACTTCATATACAACGTGGGGATCAAAATCTGTAGTTAATTTGTTGCCAAGAACTTGCATGCCATTTAAATGCCGTCGTTATATGTCATATTTTATAGTTGACAATCCCAAAAGCAATTTAAATTAATACAAAGTGCAAAGTCATACCAACACAGCCACTTATATTCAACACACACGCTTACTCACACTCGCACTCACACACAGAGACAGACACACATACAGTTGCCGTCCAAATGTCAGTTTCAAGCAGAGCGCGCTCAATAACGTATAACGTAATGCGTGCTTAAATGTATTTTATTGCCAACAACAACAACAACAACGACGACAATGGGGATGACACATAAAAGGACTAACCTTTGCCTACCGCTTACCCCACATTTACCCAAATACTCGCACAAAAACAGGCAAACAACACACGGAGAGTGCAAATTGAGCGCAAGTCGCTCTCAACATTGCGACTGGCGCAACATGTTGCCCCGCAGCATGTTGCTAAGCTCGTGCAAAATCACTTACAGCCTAACAAAATAAACGACAAAAAAGCAACGACAATTCAAGTCTGTTGAGCTTCTCAAAAGGTTATGTGGGCGGGTGGTGGACTGTGCGGCATTGGTATGATTTAAGGGTGGACATATTTAAGCAGCGGAAGCGAGGCAGGCAAGCGGAAGAAGTTATTTCAATTGCCTGCCTCCACGATGACGACGGCGATAGAAGAGCGAGCTAGTGAGGCAGCAAGGGCGAGTGAGTGATAGAGAGCGAGAGATATTGCTGTGGCACGTACAGTGGCTTAGTGTGTTAGCTACTCCGTATATGTGCGTGGGTAGGTGTGTGTGTGTGTGTGTTGGTGCGGCTGTGTGTGCCAGTTACCTGGCACGCTTTTGCTTTTTCTACCCGCACGCGGCGACAGGGCGTGAGGAAGTGGCGGGCACGAGGACGCTGACAAGGACATAGACGAGGTCCAAGGGGGCAGCTACTAATGGCATTTAAGTTTTGCTGGCCTGTCACAGGCAAAGGCAAAGGCACGGGCACAGGCACCCGCACACGAACAAAGTTGCATATGTGGCGTTATGTTTGTATACGAAACTCTTTTCGCCTCCATTATTATCCTTGAGGCTTTGGCTCTGACTGACTCTGGCTATGACTTGTGCAGTGGCCGTTCCAGCTATGGGTAGCCTGACATTTTACTTCTTTCACATCTTTTATTTCATTTCATTTCATTTCGTTTCGCTTCGTTTTATTGCATTGACATCAGCTCACATTCCATAGTGTGTGCGAGTGTGGGTGAGTGGGCGGGCACTGCCAGCTGGCAGCTGCCTGTTGGTATTTTAACAAGCTACTGTCGAATGTTCTTCATGACTCCAGCTAGGGCTTCTGCTTGTGCATAATTTGCCTTGCGGCTGTGCACCCAGCTCGTCATCATCAACGTTGTCTTCTATTCACTCCCGTGATCCGTACTTCAGCATTTGCTGCGTTCTGCCTTTTTAGCTGCGTACGCTGTTGTATATGCGTGCTTGCTGGCTTCACGTAAAACGTGGCTGACTAGCTACTCTTTTGCCTACGCCCTACCGCGCTCTGCTTTTAGCCGTTGTGCCTTGTCAGCATAATTCAATGTGCCCTATGCTATGCTTTTTGTTGTAGCATACTGGCATTTATGTTTGTTTGTGTGTGTGCGAGTGTGCGTCTGTGTATTGTTGTCAATCTGGCTGTTAAAAATTGTGTAATTTGTCATATTTTCGTTATTTTGGCCCTTGCCCCAGAGGAGTCTGACTGAGCTGAAATTCCTTAAAACTGGTTAAGCTTTAACTGCTTTCGATGAGGTGCTAATAAAGACGGTGATAATGCTGTGAAGCTCTTTTTAAGCCCCCACACCTCCAGGAGCTGCCTCCTCTACTGCCTCTCCTGCTGCTATTGCTGCTATTGCTGCTGCGGGGCTGTCTTGGGGGAATAATGGTTGTCCAGTGCAGCAGCTTTGAAATTGCTTGAATATTTTATAGAGTTATGTGCTCGCTAATTAAATTGATGTGCCACACACAGAAGCTGCTGCCGCAGCCACAGCCACAGGATATACGTGCAACAGCGTTCGACAGTCTTTGCAACTATGTGTGTTGGCGCGCGTGTGTATATATGCATATGTATGTACGTGTATGTATGTATTAATGTATGTGGGTGTGTGTGCTTGGTTGGTTGGCAACTTTAATGAATTTACCTGTGTCATGCGCAGAGTTTTGTGACTTGCGTCTCCGCATGCCTTGCCGCATTGTTGCCTGCTTGTTTTAATCGTTTTCATTTTCTAGGCAAAATTACTTATTTTATACTTACATGCAGGAAAACTGAGCAACTTTTTAGCTGTAAACTTAAATGATCGAAACTGTTGCCTACTCTAATATATATATATATATATATGTATTTAAATATAAATATATTACTTTGCTTGCTTCCGCTTACAAATTGGTTTAGCTTTGTGACCGACACAAGTGAAATTGAATTAGTTTAAAGCAAAAGTTGAAAAACTTAGCACTGACAACTCGATCAAAGCCAATGGCACACTGAGCACAGGCTGTAAATAAACAAGTCCTTTGCATTGCTATCTTATATATCCTACTCTTTACAGTTTACTTTTTACTTTACTTTTAGTTTATTTTTATTTTTTTTTGTATTTTAGTTTTGGCTTTAACACCGCTCTAACTGAGTGCGTTGTTGTTTGTGTGGAGTAGTTTGTGCGCAGTCAAGTTGAGTTTTAAATTTTATTTTGCTTCCATTGGCCCCGGAAAGTAAACAAGAGTTGAACACTAGAAAATTGCGTTACTCCTGCTAACAGTATCCCCACTTGGATGCATAAATAAATCATAAACGCTTCATATAAGTGCAGTTGCAACAATTCAGCTCGAGCGTGTGGGTGTGTGGGAGAGGGTGTATTAGCAATGGATACTGTGTATGTGCAAGTTGAAGGTGAAGCACCAGCTGTTGAAAAATAACATTCAATTTCACTTCACTGAGAAGATATCCTTGCCATAGATATCAGACATTATCTAAAAGTTAGTCTGAATGTTTGTAACAGACAGTGTTAGAAGTCCTTATATACGAAGACCTATATGTGTACGTCTCAATTGCAAGACAGACAGCTTAAGAGTTCTGGTTTGACTGTTTATTCACGTGATTTTTCGAATTCCGTAAGACCTGCACATTGTTAGTTATGTTGCCGTCATGCTCCATACGCAGATGACAAGGTTAACACTGGCGGCCACACTCGACTCCTTAACGCTGCTTTTGCTCTGCGCTGAGCCGTCTTCTGGTGGCAAGGTTTTGTACAGAAATAAGACACACAAATATACGCATGTGTGGCATGACCAAATCTGATGTGCACACAAATATTATGAAGCTATTTTGAGTGAAGTATTTAAGCTTTTGCGTAGAAGTTTAGCCAATCGATGTTCTAAGCAACGACTGCCTCTGCTGTAGCTGGCGCAGATACAACGAGGGTTGCTCAAATAGTATTGCCAAGCTGTAATAGTCTATTTAAAATGGAAACATGAGGCACGCTAAAGTAATACAATATATATTTATATATAGATTTGGCTTGTCTTCTGCTAAACTAGATAATACAAAAACTATTTATTATAAAATTATTTTCTTGTAAATTTTAGAGTTTCGTCTACCTAGGGATATTCTTTTTGCTTTTAATACTTGTCCATAAATATTTACAACCTTAATATGATCTGATTAAGAAGAGAAATGGATTTATTCTCATTCGATATTATTAAATATTCTATTATAATTAAAGCAGTTGTCAAGTAAGGGCAAAACTTTCGGAAATACTTTGAGCGACCTTCGTTGAGATTTGTATTTACTTATTTTTATTGACAGCATTATATTTTATTTATTATATTGAATTCATGTCATTGTGCTGCCTCGGCCAGGCAGCCAAACTCAGCAAGTGCCAGCAGCACGTCCTTTCAATCCTTCTCTATACATGTGTGTGTCGGTGTACGTGTGTGTGTGGGTGTATGCTATTATTGTCAAGTCAGCACATAAAGATGCCAGCGTTGGGGGCCCGGGACCGGGATAAACGTCAGCTACGTCAGCCAGTCACATTTTCGTAACTGGCAAATCTTTAAACGGAAATCGTTATATAAATCAAAGACAGATTATAAATGCTACGCAATTTTCAAGCTATTTTCGGTTCGATATTCGCGCAACATAAGCAACGCAGAGCAGTTCTTGAGGGTTGAATTTGCTGCTCAGATTCTAAAAGGCTGAGTGTAATCGTGTGTGCCAAAGCTGACAGCG